TAATCGCGCAGCCCTCAATGTAATGTGGACGAGAAAGATAATTATAATATTCTATAGAAATAATTTCATATTGGTGATTCCTTTCCAGTCAAGGGATAAGTGAATCAGAATGATGAACGCTACTTGTTATCTAAATCTATTTGCTAGAATGTTGAGAAGCATTGTGCTCAAAAGATAAGACAAGAAGAAAAATTGAACTTGGTATCTTATCCAGTGAGACTTATTGAAGATAAAGTTCTTGGATTATATTCAGATACTAAATTACTTAATAACAGAAATCAAGAATAAACTCACCTTTTTCATGTTGAAATAACTATTTCAAATGAGACGTTTCGTCTTTATTCTAATGACATCATCAGTCAACTGATGTACAGAAAGGAACTTCTAACATAGAAAAGGACAGTAAACCACATGTAGAACAGGAAAATATTTTTCTCTTTCTCTGTCCTTCTAGATCATATTGTCCTTTTCTATGTTAGAACTTATAAATATATGTCATCCCAAGTCATGTAATCCTGTAGAATGGTCCAATCTACTATATATACCACTGTGTCTGTATATACCACTGTACGAAAATGTTGAGGTTGAATAGCTAAACTATATATGTCGCAACCGAAAAACACAAAAAGAAAAGAATTGCGCGACTGTACAGTCACGTACTAAATATATGATCACTGAAAAATGAGAAAGAAGGAACACGAACACAATGGAGAAAGAAATGGCTGCTCACCTCGAAAGGATCGTCAAAGCTCGCGTAACGTTAGAGATCGAAAATACGAGAGCTCTATCTTAACACAGTGCATGCTATCCGCAAATTTGCTGCGATTATACAGCCGCTTTGCCATTTAACGACCGAAAAAAGATAGGCCTCCTCTTTCACTTTCTGCTAATTTTACAATTATCCGACAAATTTTTCACATGAGTATTACGTGCGATGATTTGTTTTTGTGCATTCAGTAAATAAGAAGCAGCTGCTTGTTGCCGAATAACTGCATGCCGTGAACCATCGTCACCAAGATTGAACAGATCCGTTTGATCAAACAAAGAATCTGCATTATTTGTATTTGAACTTGGGGCAGTATCTTGGATTGATTGTAATACATTATCATCATAAGCCACTGTTACTGTTACGGTTAATAAATCTGTTGTATTAATAATGCAGCTATCCGTTGCCTCTTCACCAAAATTTGATATAAGAGTAGGTGTAGATGGAGGAGACTGATGTTGTGACAGAACCGGTGAAGACGTTTTTTCATCGCTGGGTCAATTGTGCTGAAATATCTGAAGGGAGATCTTCCTCATTTTCTATTCCTTGTTCGCTGATTGATTGCCATAATGCTATATCAACTCTTGGTTTCTGTCCAAAAACAATTTCAAATGGAGTTGTTTTAACACCACGAGCTAAGCTAGTGTTCATTGAATAAACTGCTACTGGTAAGCGTTCTGTCCATCTATCCGCACCACGATCTTGAAGAATTTTACCAAGAATATCATATAAGGTAGCATTACTCCTTTCTACTAACCCCTGTGATTGGGGATGTCTTGGTCGACCATTGATGATCGCTACACCAGGCCATATCAATTTTAAATCTTTAATAACACCAGCCGTGAATTCTTTTCCATTATCAGATTGTAATATTTTGCTAGAGAATATAAAAAATAATGCATTTAATTGATAGAGTATACGAATTACTCACCATGGTCCAAACTGGTAGAATAAAGATGACAAATTTTGAGCAACGTGTGCAGCTTCTTTGGTCCTTAATGGATAAGCCCATGAGAATTTACTAAAATGGTCTCGACAATGTAGAATCCATTTATAATCACCATCGGGTCTTGTACGTGAATCAATAAGATCTATTTCTAATCTTGTTAGAAAACCAATGGAAACGACTGATGTTGATACAATATGATTTTTTAAGGGTTTCCGTACTTGGCATGCAATACATGTCGATAAAAAAATATCAATAACTTTTGATGGTATCCAAAAATAATACTGATTTATTTCATGCCGCATTTTATCTCGACCACCATGACCAGTTCTTATATGAACATCTTGTAAAACTTGATCATATGCTTCCGAAATCACCAACCTTTTACTATGTTTAGCCGAACATAACATTTCGACCCCAGAACTAATATCAATTTTAAAAAATTGGCGACACCAGGAATGAAATTTACAATCTATTCCAACTTTCTTTCCAGCTGTTTCATGTTTTAACGCATTAATAATTCTACTAGCTTACCGATATGATATCATTGATTTTTCTCTCATTGATAATGACAAATCATTTTTATAATCTTCAACTTTAGCATTGAATGCTTTTTCCCTGTTATCGTTGCTACTATCATTATCCTCACGTGGGTCGGTTGTAGATCCATCGTTGACTACAGTATCGCTTTTAGCACTATTATCGCCCTCAATCATAACTGTTGGTAAATCATAGTCCAATGTCATTATTTCTTGTGAATTATCACCCATGTTTAACAATTACGATGAAGTACGAAGAGAATGTTGTAAAAGAGTTCTTATCTATCTTTATTAAAACTAGAAATGATCAACAAGTCATCTGAGTTTGATTTGAGGACAACGTGAATCTGAGTTTGGCCTAGTTCAATCTGAGATTAATCTAAGTTTGGCCTGAAGTAAAATGAATCTGACTTTTGCTAGTTCTTAGATTCGCCTTGAAAATTCAGTCCAATCTCGGATTGGCCTGATATTTTCTTTTTAATCTGACTTTAGACTAGTTCAAACCGAGATCCTAGTTTGGCCTAGGAAAAAGTTAGGCGAAAGTGAGATCGGAGTTCGGACTAGGTCAAACTAAGATCCTAATTTCGCCTAGGCCAATCCTGGATTGGGCTGAATCCGAGTTTGGACGCTGACATATATATTCTTTTCTGTACTATACGACTTGATGCTTTTTTTCTTTCTATACACACTATAGAGAGAGATTTAAACGGCTTGTCCAGCTAACGGTTTCTTTTTTTCGCTCTTTTTCAAATAACTATGGCAATAAAGTCTGAAAATAAACTAAAACTGCAGCTAGATCATTAAATAGATTAAACATTTCTCTACTAAATGAAAAGTGTCTGTTATGATCTGCCATTCCTGGCAGCTCATAAGACTGTGTTTTCTTCTTCTTCTCCTTTCTTTCTATTATTGCGCAACTCTTGTTTCTTTCTTTCGTTTTCGTTTCTTTCTGTTATTGTGCAATTCTTGCTTCATAATGGGATTTTCCTAAACTATTTCTGTTCTTATGTAACTCTTGCATAACTGTTGTTCAGCTTGTGTACTATATATAGCCGTTCACTTTCTTAAATAAAGAGGAGAAGTGAGTGAGTAAAACCTCACAGTGTCTCGGCTCTCAACGTGGATTCGTTATGAAAATACAGCTGTTGTCGATTTTGGAGCTATCTGAAAAACGTGTCTAAAAGAGTGAAGACGAGCACGCGAAAATTGAACAAGTATACCAGTTCGTAGAAAATTGTTTTCTCTACAAATGATAGCCTGTAAAGTTTGAATCTATTCTAATTAATCTGTATTAATTAAAGAAAAGTCAGAAAAACCGTGACAGAATCGATTTTTGTGGCTGTTTGTACAATAGCTGTATTTTCATAACGAGTCCACGTTCAGAGCCGAGACACTTTTCATTTTATAGAGAAATGTTTAATTTATTTAATGATCAGGTTGCAGTTTTGTTTAATTTCAGACTTTATTGCCATAGTTATTTGAAAAAGAGCGAAAAAAGGAGACCGTTAGCTGAACAAGCCGTAAAGCAAGGAATGGAGAAAAGAATAAATTTTATCGTTTTATCAAAAGGAAAGAGTCCTTTTACTATGAAATTAGTCGTTATTCTAGCAACTTCCGAGATTAAAACGTTAAGAAATTTGACACTACCCTTCCTCAGCTTTTCTAGTAGTTTGTAATATACAACTCGTACTCTGTACTATGCTATTTTTTAGAAAAAGCTACCGTTTGCTTTTTGAGTTATAAGGCTGCCCTTATCACAGCTGAACGTATGAAAAAGCAGGTGTCTACATCAATATAAAGCCAAACGAGTTTTCAGAGATCTTTCTGAACTACCATGGCTTTCCAGCTTTGTCTTTGGGCCATAGTAGTCAGAAATAATGCATGTAAAATAGAAATACAAATGGTTAAAAGCCATTTGTCAACTTCGGCCACCAAAACCAGTAGTAAAGAGAATAACTGCAAAGATATATCGCAGTCAGTAGTTGAGTGCAGAATTGCATATTGGCCGATCAATTCGGTGTAAGCTTTTTCGCAGAACCACGAACAGTTATGTCACAGGTGAATACCCGTCGGTTATTAGTTTCGATATATTTTATAACATTTTGAAAAGATCATTTCAAAAACGGATGTTCCAGAGGAACTGTCTAAAACACTTCTGCCACCACAACCAGTAGTAAATAGAATAACTGCGTTTGCAACAACAGCTGCGCAACATGACGAAGTAGATCCATCAGTAGATTATTTAGCTGACCGAAAAGTATTGTATCATGAATTATATGATCTAACATTTGGTTTACAAAAACGCAAAAGGTTATACCATCAACAACTAAACATATGGCATATCAATGGCCACCAATAATTCTACAAATAATACGTGCACGTTATCCTGATAATGTCAAGAATTATGATTATTATAATGCTCAACCAATTAAATTAACATTAGACGATTTAATAGAATTGTTTCATTGAACCAATGTAATAATACGATTTTATGATGTTACATTATAATTATATTTGGTCAATCATTACTTTGGCGTATATTTAGCGTTGATTATTATTTGCCATATGTTCATTTAGTATATTGCATGCTCTTTCATGTGATGTTATTTTTGAAAGAGAGAAATACATATTCCAGCTAATACCATACAAAATAAGTATGCATATGCTTACACATATGTGACATATATCCCTGCACATGTCAATTGTATTCACCGTACTGGATAACCTACGGAAAGTGTTGCTCCGCAAAAACCTTTTATCATAGCGAAGATACCTCGGGCATATGCCGAAGTATGTGTCGTACATATCCGTGCGCATGTCCAGTAGAATCCTCATGGCCAACAGCCTAGGTCTGACCAACATAACACCATGAGAAAATACATGATTTCTCTCTGAGTACAAAAAAGTAACTTTTTTCTCATAGAGATTCTGGAAAACTCGTTCAAAACCCATGAAAAACCTATCATATCGACAAAACAATTATGCCATTAGAAAGTAGACACTTTGGGCTGTCCAACCATGTGCTTTTCTCAAAATTGATCTTTTTGACGAAAATCGATACCCGGGGAGAGGGGCTTAACGCCTCCGATTCCGATCCTTCTGAGTGCCTTCACTCGAATATACCCGCAGAATCTACTCGGAAACAAGCAACGATTTAGTTATAAGAAATAGGACAAACTGTAAAATCAACAAAAAGCAGTATGAAACCATTTTAGTCTGATCTGTCTCATGCTTGTCCAGCCATTTACGAGATAGAATAGATCTTTTTTAGTGAAGGTCTTTGGGCAAAGGAGTGATGAAGCTTTAAAACCCTTGGTTTTCAAAATAACTTTAGACGATCTCATCGAGGGTAAAAGTTTGTGCAAAATACTATCGTCTGTCGAGTCCAAGTGTTGTGAACTCTAACACTTTTTTGAGGAAAGTGATAGAAAAAATGCTGAGCTGTTTTATTGAGTCGTATGATCTCATATATGTTTACTTTTCATTTTGTTTAAATACATCTGCTACATTTCGCGAATAGTTTAGTAGAGAAGTAAATACAGAATCTTCCGGTGCAAATAAACGGAATCTTATCAGGAAGGATGTATGAGCGTATGTTCGAGTTTTGAGAAAAAGTAGACAAGTCGGAAAGAAGCAAGATACACAGCTAAGATTAGATGACAAAACACTTAGTTGAATTGTTACATGAAAAAATCATTGAAAGGAAACATGAAGTAAGCAAAACACAAGTAAATGGTATAATAGCAAGCAGAACAATGAAAGATTCAGTTATTGTTAATTATCCACCTTTGCCAGTCTTCCGACGAATATGGATCTTGAACAGGTCTGGTTTCTTTTCTACCTATTTCTATGTGCTTGATTCTTCTGTAGGTGGTTCTTGTGTAGTTGATTGGTACGATTTTTTTCGAGCCGGTTGGTACGGTTTTTGTGTAGTTGATTGGTACGGTTTTTGTGTAGTTGGTTGGTACGGTTTTTGTGTAGTTGATTGGTACGGTTTTTGTGTAGTTGGTTGGTACGGTTTTTGTGTAGTTGATTGGT